TTTAGAGCTTATTGGATCATAGATTTGAGAAGATATCGTGTTTGATTGGTAACATAACACAGTTTTTAGAGTTTACATCCACTTTACAATTTGTAAATTTTTAGATTGTACCAATCACAAAAATGATACCAAAAACTTTACCAAAAGGGTTACATTCAACTTTATTTGTACAACTTATTCTTACAGCAACTTCTTATAGCTTTGCACTATGCTGTAACGCTTACCGTTCTCGTTTACAATTAAAAAACTTGTAGCGCCTTAGGTTACCAATCAACTTTTTGTATCAACTTTTTGTTTAAATCCGGCTTTATTAGATGTGATACTTTTAAATGTCTTCTAAAATCCCATGTTATTGGATATAAAATTCTTACTAAATTATTCAAAATAATCTACGATCCACCATTATTCAATTCATCACTGATCAAAGTCATAACAAAATTTGATTACAAGTTTTTAGCTATACATGTCTATTAACAAATCTTATCTACGATGGTGATGATTTCAATAGTCTATTAGCAAATCTCATCTACGATGGTGATGATTTCATGTGAAAGTACTGACAAGTGATGTTCTTAAACATTCTTGGATTATTGGAAGCTACTATTTGACTAGTACTTGGAAGAGTAGTAGTAAACATCCTTGATTGTACTTGATGTAATTGATTAACCAAGATCATATTACATAGTTTGATTTGCACAATCCAGTCAATGATGGACGACATAAAATCGCATAGTCCAAATTGAAATCGTCGAGAAAGAGAAGGAGATTTACAAAACATATATACGTTTAGACAAAAAAGAGAGCTAGTAATTTCAAAAGAGAGATTCGTTGAAATAGAAAACATATGTGAGTCGGTAACATGTAACGAGATAATAATAAACTTGTATACCTTACTAAAGCCTAGGGGACAAATCCAAGTGTAATACTGAGCTTGAACTACTTTCTGCTCTCAAAATAATCGATTGTTATCTTTAATAAAGAAAAAAAAAATCCGAAAACTATTTAAAATAAACATACAATGCAACATCTCCACATAACCACCTACAAAATGGCATCAAAATTAATTACTCAGAAAACTTATTACTTCAAAACAAAACAAAAAAAGAGAAGAAATATTGATGGCAAGATCTACTTTCTTCATCTTGTTCATCGAAATTTTCGTGGCGAATCTTGCCAAGTTATGACCGAGAATTCCAAGTTTTGCGCATTTTCTGGGAAAGATATATTGCTGCATTAACAGCTCCAGCAGCCAAGAAACCAGACAGCGCCTGCCTTGCGCTTGAAACCATTACCCTTCGCTTCAATACCTTCTCCATACATTTCGCTGCTTCTTCTCTTGAACCTATACAAACTTCTCCCAAAACTCTACCTATACCCATATATACCAGTTCAACCATCAATAATCACCCCTCCATTTCCTTTTATAGGATCCATATTTAACTAGAGAGATAAGTAGTTGTTACCGGTCTCACTCAAGATTTTCTTTTCTCCAAGTAACTTCCCCATTTGACTTCTTACTGATGCGGGAAGAGAAGAGACTAGAGAGCGTGATGCTGAAAGGCTAGAGTCCTGTCCACAAGTTGGTAAAGATCAATGTCAGAACAATGACTCAAAAAAATCTCAAGATTGAGTCAACCATATATCTCCATAGAGCTATAAACTCTGTATACCTGAAGTAATTTAGCTTGACTAGCTTCAGCAGATGAGAATCTTAGCAAGTTTTTGGTCTCACACTCTTCGAGAAAAGGCTTATACATTGACTGGAAAAGATCAAATTGTCCCTTCACAATCTTGTTCACCTGAAAGGCATGCGATTGAGCTTATGCATGATAAATCTTTTCACTCGAAAAAGTAAAGTAATTTACATGTTCTGATATGTGATGTACTCAAGAACAGGACTGGGTTCTCTCACCTTATTAGTATCCTCTGCAAAAAACATGCGCAAGTCACCCATGTAAGAAAGGCTGCATATTTTGGCGTATAGATCTTCCTGCGTAAGTGTTCTGTGAGTCATAGTGTACAGTCTCATGAAACTTCAAAATTTATGAGCACTGAACAGAAACCCAACCTCGGTGAATTTTGATGGCAAAAGAAGAAGGGCTGCAGATACTGCGGCTCTCTTATTAACAGAATTCACATCTTCTATGTCCAGATTATCAACAAGCAAATGAACCTGCAACCAAAGTCGCTTCCCTAAAACATCTCACGATCCACGGTTACAAGTAAAAAGAGCAAGCAACTGACATACCGGTTTTTGTAAACGGCCACTCAAGTAGAATCTGTTCCAGTCCAGTATGTCCTGTACTAGGCCATGCATCCGAACAACCCCATACTTCAGCTTCTGCAAAGAGCTTCACAAGGAAAGTAAATCATGCAGGAAAAATGGCTTAAAATTACATACAATATGATCAACCTGACCAGAGTGTAAACATATGAAAGATTGAAATACAAGCTTGGATTAACAAAGCTAGATTGTTCATTAGGTTTTAAACAATCCTTTAGTATCTGGGAAGTTCTTACCCTGTCGTTCCAATTGACAAATGGATTAAAGTGAACTCCAACTCCTACTTTATCTGCAACTTTCGTAATCTGTTCTAGGAAAGAAAAAGTGTGTGGTCAGCGTTTAATTAAGCCGTATAAGAAATGCAAGAGTATGTGATAGTGAGAGAAAAGATACCAGCTTGGCTCCACCAAGGTGAACCATCCATGAAGCATAGTGATCTGAATTCATTTTCAGATTCTTGATCACACGATGACAAGCAATAATTAGAATTTGCAGGCTTAAAATAGCTTCTAATCTAACGAGCATAGTAACATTTAGTCGCTTTCTCACCTCAGAGTGCCAATGCATGGGATCAGAAACTCCAAGGATATAGTCCACCATCTTAGACTGCAAGAGCAAAGATCACATTTTAACGGCCAATTAGGGAGCTGATCAGAAACAAGAATGCTCATCACAGAGAATTCCAAGGGAAGAAACTACCTTATCTTGGTTATTTGGGTGCAAGGTCGAACCATAAACACAACAGAAATCCACAGGGGGCAGAACATTTAAAAAGCTTGCAAGCTCATCTTTTTTGGTAGTTTCCATTTCAACAAAAGACCCTTGTAATAAATGTTGTGAACCTAATTTCTGATTCCGCAAGCTTGCTCTCCAAAACTCATCAGATACATGAACCTGAAAATATGCATAATAAATACCACACAAGAATTGAAAAGTTGATAGAGGTAATTCATCGAACAAGTGGTGTACACAGTCATATAAAAGAAAAAAGCACATCAAAAGCAGAAAATCTTCGATTCTAAATATCTCTGTTCCTCTTTACAAACAGAGAGACTACATGTACACATTTTACGGCTTCGGAAGGAGTGAAATTGAGAAGATAGATTCTGAACAAAAAATAGAAGCTTGTAATAACTTACCAGTTACCAAGTATCAATGAACTCAAACTCGTCTTCTTAGGGATGTTCAGATAAAACCCAAACGACGGCGCCGGGCGGCGCGAAATACAACTCGGCAGAGATCGACGGCGATTTTGAGAAATCGATTTCGTAAAGTTTAGGTCCTCGGTGATTTGGGAGAGTGGAAAGAATACGACGTCGTTTGAAAGTGCGTGAACTAGGGGTGGAATTATTATTGGATCCGA